CTTCCAATTGTTTAGCAACACAATTAAACATTGGTACAAAAATACAAGGCCTGTCCGCCTAATGCCAAAAGACAGGCGTAAGATTTTTGCTTGGGGAGGATTTTGTATCAAAGGAAAGACTAGTCTTTTCTGCTTTTGAGGCATAATGGACAGTAAACTCTATGTTGAAATAGTAGAGAGACATCTCCCAGAGGTAAACAGGATGCTGGGAAAAAGTGGAGGTTTCAACGATCCTAAACATACTAGTCACATGGCTAAGAATTTTTTTTAAGGAAAATGTCCCAGAAATCATGGATTGGCCTTCTAACAGTCCTGACCTTAACCCCATTGAAAACCTCTGGGCAATTGTCAAAAGAGAGACAGAAAGGTGCATGCATAAGAATCTCAATGAATTGGAGAGGATTATGGTGGAAGAATGGAATGCTATCCCAGTCAGTGTTCTAATTAATTTAGTAGATTTCATGAAGTGACATTGTGAAGAGGTTATTGTGAAAAATGGTGAACAAATATCTTATTAAATTTATATCAATAAAATCTACTCATTTCAAACTTTCATTTGATATATAATATGTGCTGATGTGTGCAATATTGACAGAGCAACATGGGTTTTAATTTTTTTTCTTCACACTGTAAACTTCATCTGATTGGCAATCCTCATCTACTAATAACATTTCAGCTTGGATTGAATTTGTCCTGGATCTTTTTGAATCAGATCCTCTTGTTTCATTAGGATGCTAGTGGCCCTCTTGCATAGTATAGTTAATTGTTGTTCAGAATGAGTTTGAAAGAAGTTGTCAATATTGTCCTATAGAAATACAAGGAGATACATTAAAATGTTATCTCTGCTGATTCTCATGTCTTCTAAGTAACAAAATGCATCCGTACCTTTCCTGATCTCTTTTTTGCGAAATGAACATATTAATATCATTAGTTCTGCCATCAGTTGTCCCACCATAAATTGTCCCACCACAGATGGATCCACTTTCCAGTCCAGAATCATTGAATCTTGAATGTTGATACACTCGTTTTGTCTGCTTTCTCAATCTTTGGCAACTTTTCGGTCAATGCCTTACAATGAAAGATTGAGGAATTAGTAACTGATATATTTTTAAATCATAATATAACAATTTTCACATCCTATCAGGTCGGCAAGAAGGCTTGAACACAGCTGACGCGAGAAGGGCCCTCTGTGCCCCAATAGGACCAATGTCGGGTCGGCAAGAAGGCTTGAACACAGCTGACGCGAGAAGGGTCCTCTGTGCCCCGGCAAAGGTTTTGTAGCTCAACGAGAAGTTTTGAATGGCAAGAAGCGAGAAGAATTCCGGCCACGCTACTTATTTCTTATTCGTATTTAACAAAAAAGAAAAGTTTTTACTTGCCAATTCATACATGTCAAAGAGTACGTGTGCTCTTTATTTCCTTATCCTTGTCACAGATGGATCCACTTTCCAAAATCGTTGAATCTTGAATGTTAATTGAAGGTACAACACTCGTTTTGTCTGCTTTATCCCAATCTTTGGCAACTTTTCGGTCAACGCCTTACAATGAAAGATTGAGGAATTAGTAACTGATATATTTTTAAATCATAATATAACAATTTTCACATCCTATCAGGTCGGCAAGAAGGCTTGAACACAGCTGACGCGAGAAGGGCCCTCTGTGCCCCAATAGGACCAATGTCGGGTCGGCAAGAAGGCTTGAACACAGCTGACGCGAGAAGGGTCCTCTGTGCCCCGGCAAAGGTTTTGTAGCTCAACGAGAAGTTTTGAATGGCAAGAAGCGAGAAGAATTCCGGCCACGCTACTTATTTCTTATTCGTATTTAACAAAAAGAAAAATTTTACTTGCCGACTCATACACGCATGCTCCTGATTTCCTTATCCTCGCCACAGATGGATCCACTTTCCAAAATCGTTGAATCTTGAATGTTAATTGAAGGTACAACACTCGTTTTGTCTGCTTTATCCCAATCTTTGGCAACTTTTCGGTCAACGCCTTACAATGAAAGATTGAGGAATTAGTAACTGATATATTTTTAAATCATAATATAACAATTTTCACATCCTATCAGGTCGGCAAGAAGGCTTGAACACAGCTGACGCGAGAAGGGCCCTCTGTGCCCCAATAGGACCAATGTCGGGTCGGCAAGAAGGCTTGAACACAGCTGACGCGAGAAGGGTCCTCTGTGCCCCGGCAAAGGTTTTGTAGCTCAACGAGAAGTTTTGAATGGCAAGAAGCGAGAAGAATTCCGGCCACGCTACTTATTTCTTATTTGTATTTAACAAAAAGAAAAGTTTTACTTGCCGACTCATACACGCGTGCTCTTGATTTCCTTTTTCCTTCAGGCTCATGGTCAATAATGTTTCGGAGGGATTTAAGATATGAATCTATTCGCTTTCTGTCTTTTAAAAGATTGACAATAGACAATTCGCAAGATTTCGATCAAAAAAGTCGCGTGGTTGGTATACAGAAAAGTGGGCTTTTATGCCTGCCGAATTCTGATCACGTGTAGAGATTCCAAGATTACGTTCCGCAAAAATCGTGACTGTAAGGGGATTTGCCATTACTGACTTAATCATGACGACTCATCGTTATACCAGAATCTTGCAATAGTAATCACTATCACTTCACGTGACTTAAATTTTGCTCAGATCGTGCATCTGACACTAATACCATAAACAGGCACCTCGTTGTGAATAAAAGTTCCTCGCAATAGACACTCGTACTTTTGCTTTATTCACACTAGTAATAATAATAACGATAAACAATAAGCAACCATGTTTGAATATAGTAAATAAATAGTCAAAGAACACAATCACATGACATAATGACATACAGTCACAGTCAACACTTTTGGGGGTACTGTAGGGGGTCTGACTGTATATCCATATTAATATGATACAGCATAATGATAATTACCATAAAGAATCAAAAATATGGTTGTTATGAAATAGTCTTGCGCATCAGATAAAGGAATACGTTATCCATTGAATAAAAAAAGAAACATTTCAAAAATCAATATTTTTGTAGTAACTTCGTAAGTAATTAATCTAGTTTTTGTAGTATTAGTATCTTGGTGACTTTGTTCTTGTATTAGAAACTCGCGTTCTTTATTAACGTGTCATTGTGTTTGTACTGTGTTAAACACGTGAATTATTCCGATATTTGAATTGTTCTGTTTACAAAATCGAAAGATTACTATTAATCGAACAGTCGAACGCACATATAGTAACCGCCTTATATCCTTCAATCCACTTGACGCAGATTATTCAAACAAGGGTTTCTTCAGACCAAACAGCCGGCGTTTTCGACAATATCCAAAGCAAACTGTGCTCTCGTTATACAACGCGCAAGACGCTCAGAGAATTTATCGATTCCATAGAAGCCGAGAAAAAGAATTCGATTGTTCAGAAAAGAAAAAGGGGAAAAGACCTTTGAGACCTAATGAAGACGATGAGACTCAACCTGAACACGCTCTTGATGAAAACAGCGATCTGGAAAAGAAATCAATAATGAGGAAGTAGACAAATTTCGTAATATAATACTAGAATATTCGGATGGCATGTCTCGAAATATGATTGGTGTAAATGCCGAGAATTTCAAACCGATTTATAGATCTAGCACTGCGATAAGAATCAAGGCTAACAGAAATACACTTTTACAAGCACATACTTTCAGAATCCACGCGACTTTCTTCTCAATTCATGTTTTAGAATTACGCTTTGTTACACACCGACTGTTCGGCCAGAAATCTACCTTGCGTATATGATTCTCTTTCGAAGAATATTCAGTTAGCACTCATGCGCAACTAAAGATGGCGACATGCGTCTGCTAGTGCAGCAGCAAAAAGTTTAACAAAAATAGTTAAGTATCTTCCTGAACTATCCTCATTGCTTGACTCTTTAGACAATTACTCTATATGTGAAAGACATTACAATCAGGTAATAGTCAAAATGTCTTTTGTGAAACAATTAACTAAACTGGATGATTCAAATTTTTCAGATTCGGACGAAAAAGAAGAAAGCTTATTGATAATAACGATGAGATGCAAGTTCGTGAAAAAAGCTTTTCCGATTTCGGAGTCCAAGTATCTATGCAAGATCCAGTGTATGAAACGCTTTTGAAAAGGAATAGCAAGTTGGAAGGAGTTGTTATTAGAAAAGAAGCACTGAAAAGACTGTTAGATGAAAGACTTGCTGACGAACAAGATCGTGTAAGGTTGGTGTGTTAGGCAAGAGAAAAGAGTAACGCGAAAATTTAAAAACGATCGCGAGCGACAAATGATATGGTCTGGCCAATAAAAATATACCTGCCTGTGAGTAATACTGATTGGCTATATCGGCCATTGTTACACAAGATTTTATAAAACTATAATAAATCTATTCTAGACTGATACAAGTGAATGAACGGTGGAGACTGTGATGATTCATCAAAGATATCTTCGAAATATCCAAAGATTGTCCCCAAGAACAGCCTTTATCTCACCATTTGAAAAGGCCAAGATAAGTCCATTGTCAAATGTGCTCACGCGATATATCACTAGTAGTAAGTATTGCCGGATGTGATCTATATGTACAATATGAGATTTGTAACAAAAAAAATGTGTGTTGATACAAAAGCAACAACAGATCCACCATCACAGCAACCGCCATTATTGCTTAGATTGAAGACTGATGTGAAAGAAGCTATGAAAAATAAAGACAAGATGAGGCTTAATACCGTGAAGGTGTGAGAATTAATGCATCGATCGCGATGCTTACCGTGCCAGATATTATAAAAAGCCCTTTGCTCATCTTACTGTTAATTCTACTCAATCCGTGATGAAGGGGGTACTCTCGGATATAACCTATGCATCAAAGTCAACGTCTTCCACGTCTCAATCTCCCATTGATGACTCATCAGTGATAAGGATACTTCGGGGTGCCATTAAACGCCGTGAAGAATCAATTTCCCAATATACAGCAGCCAATAGACTAGATCTCGCTACTAATGAAAAGGAGGAACTTGAAATATTAAAGAGCTATCTACCCGAGCAAATGAGCGAAGAGGATATTGAAGCTGAAGTTAGAAAAGCGATAAAACAGGTTGGAGCTAGTAACGTGAAAGATGTTGGGAAAGTTATGAAAGAAATTAAGATTGATGAGGGAAAGGCTGATAAAAAATCTATTAGCATCATCGCAAAGAAAGTATTAAGTGAATCTCAGTGACATGCCATTAATTTAGTAAAAGAAATATGTAATTGCATAATATTTGTCAGGCAACTGCTAGGGTCAATAGACAAAAAGATGGATTTGTGATCCAAACGTCTCCCTTTCCCACAATGGAAACATTTTTGTATATAAACTTTCATTTTCTCCATGGCAGATCCTCTAGGCCCGCTTCTCTCTTTTATTCCTGCACATGAGACCGTTTATTTTAGTCGGCGTCCAAATACCGAGACGTTTCATAGTAATAGGCCTTTGTGCTATAGGCTTAAACATAAGCTATGCGGGTAATCCAATGGCTTACTGTTGTTTCTCAACTCGTTCTCTTTCTCAATTCGTACGCTCTCAATACAATGGCTATCTGAATAGATCGAGCCAATATGTCTATAGCCATAGTCTATATGGCTAAAGAATTTAACTGGTCTTCGACCGTTGCGGGATTGGTATTCACTGCGTTTCTTATCGGATATTTGGCAACTCAAATAATTGGGGGTGCATTAGCAGACAGGTTTGGCGGAAAGATTGTACTCGGGACAGGTATGACTTTTTTCTTCTTCTTGGTTTCCGTTCTATTTGCTTATTGTTATTATATACATTCGATCGAATTCATTATATACATTCGACTATATTTCACGCATACTCATCACACTCTATTCACTACTCGCAAAATTAGCCGCATTTGCCTGGTCGATGTTTACTCTGTTGACTCCTCTTGCCGCCAAACACTCGCTTTTCAGTCTCATACTCTGTCGCATTTGTCTAGGCATTGGTGAAGGAGCAGCCTTTCCGAGCGTTCATTCGCTCATATCTGCCTGGATTCCCCAACAGGAACAAACCCGAGCGGTGAGTATGACTACTGCGATTGCATACAGCGGATCGATTATCGCGTTGCCAGCGTCGTCTTTTTTAGGAAGCTCTGTATTAGGATGGGAGAGCATTTTTTACGTGTTTGGTGGTGTGGGATTGATTTGGTGTATGGTCTGGTACGTCTGTGGGGGAAACTCACCAGAGAGCGAAGGGTTTTTACTCATTGAAGAAAGCGTAGGGGATGATAATGAGGATGAAAATGGGAATGAGGATGACAATAGAAATGGAAATGAGATCGGGTTTGTAGATAGGAATGAGAGAAGAATAGGAGTCGGTGAGGGGAATATTCCATGGAAAGTTATTTTATCTAGAAAGGAGGTTTGGGCTATTATAATAGCGCAAACATGTAATTCGTGGGGATTCTTCTTAAACTATAGCTGGTTGCCGACATTTTATTTGGATCGATTCGGAATAGATGTTAATAAGCTAGGCTACTTTTCTGGTATGTTGCACTTTATTGTTCGTCTAAAAGCTGAAAATACCATATCTAATGGTTCATTGGTGTCCCTTGAATAGTCATTCCCGTCATATTTCAGAGTATTGTAGGCTCATCAGTCGGTGCACTCTCAGATTATGCCATATACAAGCTGAACATGCGGGTAGTCGTCGTGCGTAAATTGGCTCAAGCTATAGGAACTCTGTCTATTGCTATAAGTTTACTGTTGGTAAGTTTAATATTTTATGTCACCTTTGTTATAACAAGACGCTTACACTTTCTTAAGGCTACTTTTGTAGCAAACACGGCTGCTCAAGGGATACTAATAATTACTGTTGGTACGGGACTGTATGGATTTGTCTTGGCTGGATTATCTGTGTCATTGGTAAGAACTCTTTGACAATTACTTTGGATCCTACACCATCCAATGGAATTGAGCTCTATAACCTTCTTAATCATAATAGCATGACATAGCCCCACTTTATGCTGGAACAATATTCGGTCTTAGCAATACAATTGCAACAGTTCCTGCAATATTCGGACTGGTACTGACTGGATGGATATTAGATGTAGCTGGACATCAATGGGAAATCGTATGGGTATTGACAAGTGCAATCTACTTTATTGGAATTGTAGTTTTCATTGCTTGGGCGGGCGGTGAGGTTGTTATTGAATGAGCGGACGGGGGAATAAAAGAATCCACTTTCCTGTTATAAATGATACACGCGCTGATCAACTATTTAATATATTCTGCTAGAGTGGTTACGAAAGTTCAACTATTCTTCTTTTTAAATATTAAAGGCAATGATGAATCTTATTCCCATCACAATGCCAAGCGAAATGCTAGTAACTCTACATTCGTTGGATTAAGCTTCCCTGAATCTTAGAAGGAATACGTAGTCGAGAATATTCGTTTAGACATGTGGTTAGCGTGACGAGTCATATGCGTAGTCAATACCATTGTGATTCGTATAATCGTTAATGACACAGGCCCATGATGAGAAGAACCCTCATGTTTAGCCCATCGCGTACGCGTTTGGCGGATAAAAATTTGATATTGAGCGAATATCAATATACGTGGTCAAGTTTGATCATAGACGGCTTGGAAAAGTTTTATGTAACCAAGTAAAAATGTTTGCAACTTCAAAACGTAAAGATACTAAATATACACTTAATGGACAAGAGTATGTACCCAAAATTGTACTAAATAACAGTTACCATTTTTATATCGTTCGAAAGCTCTTGTTCTCGACAAACATTTTTATTAATATTCAAATTCGCTTTTCATTATGACAAAAATTAAAATAAAATTGACGTTCGAAATTATAAGATTGACAGTGATTATTTTGCTACTAATCCTTTATAATACAATAATTATAAAATCTTCAATACCAATTACACAGCTATTTATGTCGTACTAATATGAAAGATATTACGAATGGTATCCATAGTGCTGCGATAAATTTGTGATTGCGTCGTCATTAAAATCATTTTGCAGTCTAATCGTCGTATAAACGTTATAAAGTATTTACTTTTTTGTCATTTAAAGCCTTTCTCTACGTTCATTTTTTTATATATCCTCAGTGCTCCATTCATCAATTAAAACTCTTCTAGAAGTTTATTTTCATAGATCTATTGATGTCTAAATTATCAAAAAATAAAATAAAATAACAAATTCGCGGGTTTAACATTATTTAACAATTTTGTCTTGTATATCCTCCTAAACTTGAATACATGATCGAATTGTAAATCAGTGTTTATTTTTCGTACATCCTCATAGTCTCAAAGTTATGATTGGATCATAAAAACAACAGCAACAAAATTACACCTCCATTCTATGCTTCTGTTTTTAAGTTTTTATAGATATTCGCATTTTTCATATATCCCATAGCCTTGAAACCGCAAATGAAATGCAAAACCAATAGCGATGAGTGGAGATTCATCATCAAATAACGCTCCATGAATTCCGAGCTTACAAAAATAGAACTGCATCATGTAATGTCCTTGCCAATGACTCAAAGATTGTCAAGGCGAAATAAATTGTCAGCATGTGAGGTGAGGTATGGAAAATAAATTATTTATTTGAACAAAAAATCTGGTAACTAGTATGTAATAAAAAACACATAAACTATGATAGGCAAATGTCCAGGATGTGGGTATAGCCCAACAAAAACTGATCTTACTAGGCATATGGATCCAACACGACAAAGACCATGCCAAGCTCTTTTGCGATTATCTCGTAATATTATCAGACCAGAAAATACCAATGCAGACTGCGAAACAAGACACTCCATGCCAAATTTTCGTGACCTAGACATAGAAGTACATTGGCCAGTTCAAAAGGCAAATACATGTTCAAAGTAGATGGCTGAATATTCTTCTCGACATGGTTCACAGAAATACCAGAAGAAATATATTTAGGTAAGTTACTGGGGAAATAAAAAGCATGGGATAAAAAATCAAAAGCTGAGCCCAAGAATACTATTACTATGGGTTTTGTTGAAAATTTTTGTCGATAAAATATTATGAATTCAAGATGCGCATGAATTACTGTTACCTATACCTCAAAGATTGCGAGTTTAGAAAAAAACAACTTCGTACAGTAATTAATGTATTAAATAATACTATACCTCGTTTAACGAAATGGCTCCCATTGAAGCTATGAAAAAGATATATATGATAAATATTCCAACCCCCGAAATGAACCTATGGGTGTTGATGAAGTCTGCCTGTCTCATAATGCTTTAGTGCGATATTTACTCAAACTTAGCGAGTTAGAGGGAGGGAGACATTGCGCAACTGACTGTAATTATAGTCCGCAAATTTGTCATATAAAAAAAATCGTTAGCGCAAAATTTTATATTGGCTAATAGATAATGGTGAGAATGAGCCCAAGAGATCGTTTGTGCGCGAACAATTGATAGTAGTTCCGCACACCAAATTGCCGCCCAATTGGGTGCTCAAACAATAATATAATACTATATTTTTAAATCGGGATTTTGAGAACATCTTCTACTTCCGCTTCAAAAATAATTGATATATTTCTAAGTTACCACATATTTCTTCGTTATACCAATCCTTGAAATTCGTCATCCTATCATTATACACGTATGTCTCCTAATTCGGTGCGCGTTGTTTTGCTACATATCTAACATGGTCTTCTGAGTCTCTTTTTGCTGTAGGTTTTTAGATAACCTACATATGATGCGCCTAACCTGTCTATTATTTGGTACCTTGGCATCAAGTAATGCTGATTCAATATCTTTGTGGTTTACTGTTTGTATTTGTTATATATTCATGTCAGAAAAATACAGATATAATATTTACATTATTCAGGCAATATTTACGGTCGTGGTTGCCGTCGCCCTGAAGGATGCTATGAACATCGGGATCCAAGAAACGCACACCATGCAAAGTTTGTGGTAAACTTACTACCTCTGCCCCCGAAATTTGTAAAAATCATGCTGGGGGCTATTATATGATGCAATTCTATTCCGTAAGCTTGGAATTCATTAAGCGGAAAGTTTCATTGTGCCGGATGAGGACAGTGATGCCGCTACAGAACACCCTACTTAAATAAAAAAATTTTTTTTTTGATTGACGCAAATTCGTCGACTTGAGTAATAATGCAAGGGTCATTTGATGATGAATCTCCACTCATCGCTATTGGTTTTGCGTTTCCAAGGCTATGGGATAATAATAATGAAAAATGCAAATATCTATAAAATGTCGACAGAAGCATAGAATAAATGTGTAATTTTGTTGCTGTTGTTTTTATGATCCAATCACGTCTTCGAGACTATGAAGATGTGCGAAAATTAAATAGTTGGGAAGCTTTAATTGCGATCGAATTATAAATAATAGTTATTGATTTTACAATTCTATTTTTTTGATAATTTATACTCATTTTAGACATCAATAGATCTATGAAAATAAATGTAGAGAAAGGCTTTAAATGATGACAGATATACAAAAAAGCAAATCCCTTATAACGTTTTATCTGTTACACGAAAATTAGACTGCAAAATGATTGGAATGATGACTCCTTGGTGTAAAAAAAGTCCGCTCGCCCTTCCTGCTGCTAGAATTGTTTGAATAACTTTCAATTAATTCAATTTTGCTTTTAGTGAAGTCATTCATTTTGGCAAGAACTTGGAGGAGTGTTTCAATTTAAGAGCTTCATTCATACTAGCATAATATTCATCAATGCAAACACAGAGCTAAATGTGCATAAGAATATTAGCTTAGTACTTTTTGAATAGAGATTATGACCAAAGAAGGATAATTTCACTATTTTCATAGACCATATTAAATTATCACCGCAGCAGGTAAAAGCTGAGTTTGTTAACATAAAATGGTCCGTCCATTATTCCTGTAAAGCAAATGAGGGTGTTTTTTCCTCAAGCGAGTCGTTTTTTTTCGTTACACAGTATATATCGTGGTCGATTACGCGGGGTGGTTAAAAATGACGTATTCCCCAACCAATGATGCTGTGCACCCGAACTAGAATTTTCCTTTAAAGGTAGACGCGTTCAACTCTCAATCTTTTTGATATATCGATAACTTTTAATTTGCATCTTAAAATAAAGAATGCGGGATGCCTTGAAAATACACTGGACGTTTACTTCGTTTGGTTTGCTGCGCATGCCTCACCAAAAAACTTGTGCTTTAGAGGAGGATATTAAGTTTACGTTGTAAATTAGAGTCTAAATAATATAACGATAACGATGAAACCCATTATTAATGCAACAACTCATTTCAAAGCTTTTTGTGAGCACGCTGAGAGGCAAATACTGTAATGTATATGCTTGTGTATGAGAATAAATTATTTACATTAGATTAAAGATGGAATGGTATTCAATCGCAAAGTCCAAAGAATAATATCTAAGTTAGACGTGTACCCATATTCTTAATAGTTTATATGTATGATTATTTTTACACAAACTCACCAATCGGTTGATGAGTAGATAGAAAACTATATAACAACAGATTACAGGACAAAATATGCAGAGTTACTTTAACAATAAACGAACAAATAAGGCATTTGTTGATTTCTATTAGCACAGTCACATCAATCTTCGATATATCTACAAACATCTATAATTATCCTTAAAAATCGGCTGTATGCCATACTTTCCTCTTTGTCGTCTTAACCTATCGTCATATCAATTCGAAGTCTTCAACATCCAACATTCCATCCAATGCTTCCATATTGGTACCATCGAATAGGCGCTGATCGCAGGGTGACTGCACATTATTGTAATGACTATACGGATTACGAGAGTCTATCCAATTCCCGCATAAATAACAGAAATGAGTTTGACATCGAGTACACTTCATGTGATTGCAGCCCATAGATTTTTCTATTGGTGTTTCGCACTGAGGACACAACTGAGCATTAGATTTCAACCACTCGTCGTTGGCTCTTGCTTCTTTTACTTCAGTAACCAGTTTAGAAAGATTAACTGCTCCATAGCGAAGCTCGAACATTCTTTTGCTATCCTCGTCGGCTGCAAGGTATTCGTCAACTAATTTCGATGTATTGTTTATTCTACAACCAGCGCGTGCTCCGTGCCTTTGGTATTTAGATCACCATCAAAATAAGTAAGAGATGACAAAGTTGCATAACAATTCAAAACATTGGAATACCGAATATTGTCTGCTTACCATGTTCGCT